GTACGAATTGATCAAGTACTACTCGATGATAGTTTGCAAGGAGTTTTGACCCGAGTGATTGGTCAAATGACGCCAGCCCCGATACAGCGATGACCCCTCCAACCGGCTCTGGCGATTGGAGGGATCTCATCAGCATTCACCCCGTTCCTGACTGTCTCTGCCACACCGTCATATTCCCAGTCGCAACCGTCGCAAATCAAGCTCTCATCATGTCAAAGGGTCCCGTTGTGATAGGCTCTACGCAGCAGTTCGATGCGCTCCTCAAGTCGTCGCGCATCGTCGTCGCTGACTGTGAGTAACTGCCTCTGCCTCTCCAGAGATGCCCCGCCATGCCCTTGCGGCAACTTGTCCAACACCGCAACGCGTCTCGCCTTCTGCCTGGAAAGAAGCTAACTAATGCTCCTCCTCTAGTCTACGCCGACTGGTGTGGTCCTTGCAAACAGATCGCCCCCCTTTACGCAACACTCTCGAACGAACTATCCCGCGAAAACATCCTGACCTTTGTCAAGATCAACAGCGAAGAACAGGGAGAGCTGTCTGAGAGATACCAGGTGTCGGCCCTACCAACCTTTCTCCTCTTCCTGGACGGAAAGCAGATCGACAAGGTTCAGGGCGCCAATCCTCCCAAGCTCCAAGCCATGGTTCAGAAGCTGGCGGCCGAGGTGGACTCGCTCGGCGGCGAGAGCGCCGCCTCTGGCAGCGGAGGCAATTGGAAGGGCGCGGAGATCCCGCGAGGCTACAGCGACATCACAGACCAAATAGAGGTTCGAGATCTCGAGGTCCTCAACGCAGATGAGGAGAGCGGTTCCGTCAGGGTTCTGTTTGAGAAGTCCAAGCCCAGCGGACTGAGCAATGGCAAGGGAACAGCCAAGGATTTTGTCCAGAGCGGCGCCGACGACCAGCTTCTTCTGTTCATTCCCTTCCAGTCGACTGTCAAGCTTCACACCCTCCAGGCAAGTTGCGCCGTGTTTTTTACTGGACTACCACTCTAACCAATGCGCAGCTTACTTCGCTTCCCCCCAAAGACGACGAGGATGCGCCAATGCGACCAGGAATCATCCACCTGTACATCAACCGTCCCCACAACCTCGACTTCAGCGAGGCCGACGACACCGAGCCCACACAGATCATTGACATTGATGCCGAGGAATGGAACGACGACGGAACGGTCAATGTTGGACTGCGCTTTGTCAAGTTCACAAAGACGTCAACCCTAATCATCTACGTCCAGCAGGGCGAGGGCGATGGCGAGACTGTCCGGCTTGATCGGGTGAAGCTCATTGGCGAGGCTGGAGCCAAGCGAGAGATGGGTAAGCTGCAGAAGGTTGGAGAAGACGAGTAATGTTATGCATAAAGAATTGGGTTAAGCTTGGCACATTTTTTTTTTTCCTGTGATGATACCAGGACACACCTGAATGCGATTCAGAGTGAAATGGCCATGCGCTTAAGGAGAATGTAATTGGGGTTTCAATAACAAAGAGGCAGCACAAAATGTCGTTGTCCAGGTAGAGAATAGAGGTCAAGACGTCGGTTCGTCAAGCATTCACATCCTCTTCTTCCTGGCCAAGACAACATTGCGATTCTCTAGGTAGTTTAAACATTGCGCATTTCTGCGCGAGGCAATCACAGCTTGACTTCACACGAGAGCATAGGTTTTGGATATGTCCTGCCTCCCAACCACGACTGAGGTGCATCAAAAGCACCAGAACCAAGCGATGGTAGGGCGGGCCTGCAATTATGATTAATCTGGGGCACAACTGACGCTGCGATTTGATCCATTGATGAGGGATTCGAGCAACACGGAGAATATAAATTTCAGGTTATGCCAGCCGCACGAAGAAGAAAAAGAGAAAAGGGAAGCGTAGCTTCAGCTCGCGATCGAGATTTTTATGCGGTTCCGCTTCGCGCGGTTGGAGCTTGCTTAGTCAGGTGGGTTGTCCGGATTAAGTGTATCACCGGTCGGACAAATTTGGTCTAGTATCCGCTCCAGGGTAGGTATGAGACTTTCTAAGTCCGATGTAAGTTGCTGTTGGTTGACGCAACAATCGAGATGTTCCTTGTCGTTTCAAGATCCTCGAATCCATGTTGCTCTTCAAGTCACTCTATTTCGGTCTCTAAGGCTCCGGTGTCGGAATTTCCGAGCCGTGATTCGCGAGACGAGCACCAACCAACACATCGTGGGTTGTTGAATCAGCCCACCATCACTTATCTTGCACCCTCAATCCCATTTACAATGGCACATGGCCCGTCCCGCTGCAAGCCGCCACCAGTTACATCGCAGATCATTGAGGCCAAGAATGCAACTCTCTCTAGCATCCTGCCAAGAACCGGTGTCGCAGCGACAACCTCTATCCAGCGGAAGATATCTGCTCCGTCCAGTATCTATGGACTCATCGGCCTCTACCCGAAACAAGCTTCCCGAGCACCACCAACCTAGCAGCGCGGATGTAAAAGACTCCCCCGCCATTCGTGCAAAAACGTGGTCGTTTACGCAACATTATCCCCCATGGCGTAGTTAGATAGGCATCCATTCGCAGTTACCTCTACTAAGCCGAGGTGAATGACTTGTCCAGCGGGGAGAGCTCGCCTAGAGGATATGGGGACAAATCGTGGGGTGACTGCGGAGGTGAGCAGCCACGCCATTCTGCCGGGATAGTAGGATGGTCCCCTCTCCTTGGCTGGCCTGGCGGGTATTTGTATCATCGTGAGGAGTCAAGGTGAGTCAATTTTGACCTTGATCCTCCATCGTGCGAGGAAGAAATGTCGACGAGCTTCCCGTCCTTTGTCAAATTACCAGGAGAGCTGCGGTCCATGGTATGGGCGTATGCCCTACCAGAGCCGCGGGTTTTTGAAGTCCTCGATACTCCGCACTCCAACTTCAAAACTCCAGCATCGACAGGGCTCACGTTTGCGAATAGTTCCAATGAGCCCCCGCCTGTGCTGGCCGCCATATGCAGAGAGTCGCGGGCATACGTGCTGCACCGCTACAAGAGGCTGACGTTATCTGGAACAACAAAGTACATCGATTCTGTACGGGATGTCGTCCTGCTTGAACCCTACCTACTCATCAGGCGGCTTCTAAGAGCCCTGCACTTTCTTTCACAAGTGGATTTCATGAGAGACAACATGCGCCAAGTGGCCCTCGGGACGTCCTATGGTTTTGCGACGGGAATCTTTCACCCCATGCTCAGCGGAAAGGTATCGAGGAACAATATGACCATGTTTATCAAAAAGCTTCGCCGATTCCCACGACTGAAAAAGGTCCTATTTGTCGTCCATGAGGAGTTTCAGTGCACTCACCCGAACCCTCCCATGGCCGAATGGCCTTACGGACTGCAGCTCTTTCACCACAACTACTCGTTCAAGTTTGACAATGAGCTGGGGATCAACATCCACAACCCGTGGCACTTTCACCAGAATGAGTTCCAGTACTACCCCCTTCAGACGGAGGAGGCTGATGAGGACGATGACGATCTAAGCGAGAGCGGGACCGATAGCGAGGAGGAGGCGGCAGAGTTGAACCGAAAACCTACCAACGAGGATTGGAGACGGTTCAAGAGGCGGTTCCTAAAGGCTGCGCACTCGACGCTGACGAAACGATTACGAGACAAGCCACCAATAGTCGAGACTCTGCAGCTGCAAGTCGAAGGCGCAAGTTTACTGTGGAAGTACCGATCTTTTTAGGGGTGGATGACATGGAAGGCTGGGATCAATATCGAACACGACTCGGACATTATTGAGCTTGGGATGACTGGGCAAGGAAGTTTATGGAGGAACTCGAAACACGACGAATGAGCAATGGCAATTTGGAATTCAGCGAAACCCGGGATCCTGGAAATGTACACCATTTGACGCAAGCACTTGACCCCTGCAGCAATGGATTCCGTAGCCGTCAAGCTTGGCTACGGACGGGGCCAAGGAACGTCGAAACATCTGGAACATGTTCTAGTCGAAAGCTTGGTATCGATGGCGTTGGAAAGGGAGGAGTTTATTTGGCGTTTCGTTGGCGTGGCTGATGGGAGAGTTGGGTCTGGTGTTTTTTTCTGATGGTATGGGGAAATGGAGTATCGAGCGAAACTGGATGATACCATGAATTGAAATTGAAACACATGATCGTGTAGTTTGATCGACGAGCATGTCCCTGAATCGTGTTGGCTGTGACTTGTCGAATTACGAGGGTGTTGGGTCTCGACTTTGATAGTTGGGTGCCAGGTTAGTTTTGGGCTGTGTTTGGGCTATGACAAAAGGTCGTATTTGACTATGTGAGTTGCCGAATGGCTTGTAGATACAGAAAATGGCAAACAATCAGGTCAGAGCTAGTGGCGACCTTTAATCAGGCTTCAAGAACAAATGTTCAATGCACAATCCGAAAACCATCGGAGTCGCTTGTGAGGTCATCGCCATGACCCAAAACGGCTGCTGCATCCGAAGGCTGCGGTTCTAAAGACACCATGTGGGTTGCTCCCGGAAGGTGGGGGAGTCTGGGCTCATCCAGTCGAATTAAAGTTGTGGGCCACGCCCTGACGCTCACGAATGTTCTACTCTTGGAGAGGTTAAAGAGGCGGGAGAATCTATATCGACTTTCACCAAACTTCATCTTCTTTAACACCGGGTCAGTGGCTGGCACCAGGTATGGGCTTGATTCCAGGCCCTAGGGCTGGAAAATAAACTCTGGACCATTACCGCAACTGGACTAGACGATGCTCTTCATGCAGGGAACTATCTCGCCCAATCAGACGAAGCCGGCTCTGAACCCTTCTTAAACGACGTGATGTGCCGGAGCATGAGGCGGAGGAGGAGGCGCCTTTGACAAGTCGAGATCGATCCCGCTCGCCATGCACACACAACGGTCCGGCATGCCGATGCCGATGCCGATGCCGACGCTGCCAACCGGCTCTTGCAACAGCTAGACAGACACCGTACAGCTCATCAACTCCCGCCGTTGTCCATCACGGCCGCCGAGTCTCTTCCCCCTGTCTGGCCGCTTTCATGATCCCATCATGTCCACCACTCTGCCGGTCCTGGCCCCCCGCCTCCCGGGCTGCCCGCCGGCGGTGGACGACAGGACCTACACCAAGGAGCACACCGAGGAGGAGTGGGAGGCCATGCGCGAGGTCATCAAGAGGTTGTACATACGCGACAACCGCAAGCTCAACGAGACCATGGCCATCCTGCAGGCGAGGCACGGCTTTGCAGCGACGTGAGTGCAGCCTTTTAAGACTAAGTAGATGAAATCAAAGACCTGAGCTGATTGACTTTTGCCCCGGGAATAGAGAGCAAATGTTCAAGAAGCGCTTAAAGAAGTGGAATCTCAGGAAGCGCACATATCGCAAGAGCCCCTCGGGTTCCACAGCTTCCACTCCTGCGCAGATTGCCGAGGCATACTGTCAGAGTGCAGTAACAGCAGAGACGGAGACAGTTGACGACCAGACTGCGGCGTCTTCGTCTTCGCCCGAGGAGCAGTCTCCTGAAGAGGTCAATGATACCTCCATGGCCCTCATCCGGCCCTCTAACAATGCAGGGCCCTACGCAAATCTCGAGCAGGTTCTCGGCAGCGTCTTCTCGTGGAGTCAGTCCAAGCTGGACACATACCCCGTTGCGTCGGATCCCATGTCGAGATATCTGGCGAATCCAAATCACCCCCCTATCCAGGACAGCCGGACAATGTACCGGACGTTTGAGCTTGTTTTCGATCTGTGGTACCACGGAAAAGGGAACCTTGCAGGTTTGGCTGCACGGAGAGGCTTCTATGTGCTTGAGTTTGTCCTCAGTGAGGACCACCCGGACCTTGTATGGCACGTCCTGGACACCATCTTTGACATGGTAGATCGTGGACATCTTCAGCTTCTGGGCTTATTCTTGGATCATGCTACTATTCTGGCACAACGACAACTGCCAGCTCAACACCCACTCCTCCGGATTCTACAACAACTACGGGCATGTGATTATCAATCAGATCAAGGGAGGAGTTACTTATGCCATATACTACGTCAGGCCTGGATGCGAAACGTCGACATGCTGGCCGAACACATCGAGTCCTCGGATCCACAACGGCTCTGGCTCTACGAACAACTTATCTGGGATGGACGGACGCGGCTGCGCAAAGGGAGCGAGCTCGCCAAGAGGCAGGACGCCATGTACCACGCCCTCGAAACAATGGCCGAGGCACAAGACCACGGCCCCACGGTGGACGACTCTGACCGGTTACGAATAGAGGCGCTAAGGCTCGAGTTTACGCAGATGGACGTGGGCGACAAAAAGAAGGCCGAGGAGCTGGCGCTCAACCTCCTCAACCATACGAGCTCCGACACGGGGATGGGGTCCAGATCAAGCGATCGGTTCCACGCGTACGCGCGCAAGATGCTCGCCCGGGTCCAGCAGGATCGACAGGAGTGGGACACGGCTGAGCAGAATCTGCAGTACGCCATCTACAAGCGCGAGGCGGCCCACGGCACGCTCAACAACCTGCGCGTGATCCGCGACATGTGGGTGCTCGCCGCGCACTACCAAAAGGCCGGACGGCAGGGGGACGCGGATGCCATCACCTCGGATGCCCTCTCGAGGGCGCAGCTATACCTAGAGCAAGGAACTAGCTGAAGTTTGGATCGTGATACGGTGTCCTTTGGAGTTGGCGGTTCTAGAATGGGTTGGGGGGCTGCATACACACATACCATGCGAGTCGGCGTACGGTTTTTAATGATTTGAGTCAAATCCTCAAACAAACCAACAACAACAACTACTACTTATTAAGCAACAACCTGCCTAGTTCATCTTGGAGGATCAAAATCTGGTTCATGAGGAAGGGTATGGCGGTTCATGGACCTGGGGTTGAAAATGGACCTAGGCTGCAGCCACGTGTGCACCGCCACAATGACGTTGACACTTTTGGCCTTGAGGATAGCGGCCTCTACACCAATACAAATTTACCTACTTCAGTAACAACCTGGCCTCTACCTTGACTCTTTGCCTAGACAAATCACTCGCTAGATCGCTTCTTCGTTCCCTATACTCGTCTACAGTGTCAGAATGGCTACCGGAGCTCCCCCAGACTACTGTGAGCTCTACAGCAACCCCACCATGGAATGCGCCGACAGCTAACACAGCGAATACTTTAGATTCCATCCTTGAGGTCTCTGATACAGCCACTACTCAGCAGATCCGCGATGCCTACAAGCGGTATGTTTTTAAGATAGAGCGCTTAAAGCTTTGCTGACACCCCCACCAGCGCCGCCTTGAAGACGCACCCCGATCGCGTCGCCAGCACCTCCCCAGACCGAGCCGAACGAACCCGCAAGTTTCAGCTCGTCAACGATGCCTACTATACTCTCTCCGATAACACCCGTCGCCGCGAGTACGACGCCCAGCGCAAGCTCTTCAATACGAGCACACCCGCCGACCCCTTCGAGGAGGACATCCCCGAGGGTGAGGAGGGAGCGCCGCCCCAGAGCGCATACTCATGGGCATGGAACTTCTTCACCAACCAGGCCGGCGGCGGGGCTGCCAACGCGCAGGACCGCGAGCAGACGGAGAATGCCCAGTTCAGCGACGTGTTTGAGGAGATGATGCGGGAGGAGGGCATGGCCGAGGGAGGGGATAACCACCCCACGAGCAAGTTCTGGGGCATGCTGGGCGGCGTGAGCGGCGGCGCCCTGGGCTTCATCGTTGCCAACGTGCCGGGAATGGTCGCTGGTGCCGTGGCGGGCAACAGGCTAGGGGCTATTCGGGATGCCAGGGGCAAGAGCGTATATGCCGTGTTCCAGGTATGTTTGCTTATACGCTGTGGTGTAAGTTCAAGCTGACTTTTCTTATCAGGAACTTCCTCAGGATGACAGGGCCAAGCTGTTGAGTCAGTTGGCCATAAGAGTTTTCAGCCATGCTGTTGGTATTTGAGTTGGAGACTCTTGAATAGTTTGTGGTATGATTGGGCGCTGGGAGTTTGTTAGTATGGGCTATTGAAGAACAGGTATTCTCTTTTCTCTGGGTTATGAGGGTTAAGTAACGAGGGCGGTTGATCAGGCGCATTGATTCAATAAACGAGCCTTAGTTAGGAACCTAGAATTCAACATCGTTTGGACATTGAATTTCAAAGACAACAGCACCTCTGAGTCTTGTTTCGTGTGTATTAATTTAGTAAATGGACTTTTTGTGAGTGTTGGTTGTTCCCAATATACCCCTGAGGTAGATCTCGCCTTATACCCGCACTGAGAGAATGCACATGGAAACTCCCTCTCAAAATATGACATGTCAAGTGGACTCTGGCAAGGGTTCTACCCACTCTCCCTCCAATCAGGCTTCAAACTCTTGTGCCACGACTTGGCTCTTGTAAAGTAGCCCCTTATGAAGCTTCCAACACGGGCGAGAACAGCCTTTGACCATACTGAGCAAGAAACTTGCCAGGAAACTTCTCATGCCATAAAAAGTCTGCCAATATCACTTCGAGTTCCAAAGAATTCGAAACGCCTAGTAGGATGAGTGCTTTGGACAAGTTACCAGAAAAGAAGTCCCAGTCTTGGCCAGACTCAAAAGCGGCGGATGCCCCCATCACTAGACACCAGAGCAGCCCAGGTTGAAACACGAGCCGGGTAGCAAGCATCAAATAACCCTCCTGTAACTGGCCTATAAGTCGCCCAAGGATCGCTCGAGGTAGGTGGTGACTTGGGACCAGTTCCCGAATGATCAGGTAGAAAAAGGCGTGTGCTGCCGTCACGAGGATGCGCCCTTCAGACGTGAGGCCATCACCGCCTAGAGTTGTCTGAAGATGGTGGTCAACAACGTTGATAAGTACACGAAAGTCTTGCATGGGCACGTCTTTTGACTTTAATGAATATTGTGCCTGCCGTACAAGTGAGAAGTTGTTTTGAACGGTTGTGTCGTCGAAACTGGACTCGAACACTCCTAAATGCGCCAGGCTCGGGGTATTGGCAGCATCAAGTATACGGAGTGGAAGTGATATCATATCCATGGTAAGGATCATGGGAAGTATGGGTTTCGTGCCCAGCCCAATCGCGGCTTGTATGTCGGACCTATCAACGTCAGAGATGAAGGGATGATCTCTTTAGACGAACCCACCAGTTTATGACACGAGCTACGTTGACATTATCCTTGAGCTCATCATAACCTCGTCTCGCTCGGATCAATAGATCAACAGCTCTCAGGTGCACACAGGCAACCTCATAGTTCCCTTCAGTGCCCTATCAAATAGTCAGCACCATGTAAAGACTGTAGCAAAAAGCCCCGACCTCGATGTTGGCAAGATTGGCGATTGTCCCGATCAGTATCATGTCGTTGACACCCTGAGCAAGTCTCTGTCTCACTCCCTGAATTACCAGTGCCTTTTGCTTACATCCTTCGTTCGCCACTCTCCTGGGATCCGGCAGCAACTGTGACCAAAGAGCTGCTGCGAGGCCCAATGTTGTGTGCATGAGCAGGGGATCCGAAAAAGCGTAGCCTTCCCACCATTGCTTTCGGATGTAGGCAATGGTAGCACGAAGGTCGAATCGAGAAATGACTACCCCTTGTTAATAAAGAGCAACGGTTTGTCCCTGAGTCGACGTACAGAATCTGATCAACTTGTCGTCATTGTCACTTAGAGGAATAGGAAACGCGCTGAAAGGATCTCCGCGGCCTTGGCCGGGAGCTTTGAAAAGATCCCATGGCGTGTTGGGATAAGTACCGGCGTCAAGGTGGTCAGCGGTGACATGCCCTGATGAGTTGGCAAAGTCTTTGGTTGATCGTGACTGGACAGTCTTGAGTTTCGATGCCTTGGCGGCCTGTTTCTCCTTGTTCGAAACCTGTTGAGACTTTCTCGGCCCGTTAGAGACCCTGAATCGACCCTTGAGTGTGTCCTTTTGTCTGATGGTAAGTTGAGAATCTTTGGATCCTCCAGGATCTATTGCTTGACTCTTGTGTTGTAAACCGGTCTTGACTGCGTGGCTTCTGGTGGACGCTGAAGGTCGTTTTGAGGTGCCATCTGAAACTACGAATGTGAAATCGGGCATGATTGTGTTCTAAGATCCGAAAGGTGCATCGAGAATGGTGTCATGAAAATTCACGCTCATGCTGTAAGAGTGATGGATGGAGGCGTTCATACACATAGGTAGTCAAGCATTAGTCAGCACTAGCAAGCTTGACTTGATCGATTTCTCAACGTCTTCACAGGATGTCATATAGGAGGTGTCTCCTGTATTCAAATAATCATCTAGGCGTGTAGCCCGTCACTCATATACTTGATCATCTCATCACCATGAAACGAAACGAAACCTCCCGAGTCCCTTACACCATGAATGCGCCTCATGTGCTCCGTAAAAAGGTCTTGGCAAGTCTTGTTAACATTGATGCCAGGACGGTAGAACTCCATGAGGAAATTTCACATACATTTTTGTATGACCCAAACTCATAATCTCGACATCTCTTCCTGCGCCCACGGTTCTCTGATTCGGAGGGCAAGCCAGACGTTCTTTCGTCCTTGGTGACGGTATCGCAATGTCCGTGTCCGTCCTCTCAGATCATTAAGTTTACCCTAGGTATCCAGCGCCTACATAACCTATCTTCTCGAAGAGGGCTGGAATCCAGGAGGAGGGGGACCGCCAGGGTTGAAGCCGGGAGGCGGGAACTGAGGGTTTCCGGGGAATCCAGCTGGAGGGGGAGGAAAGTTTCCAGGGAATCCGGGAGGGGGTGCTTGGCAATGATTAGAAAATCGTCTTCGATAGCGAGAATTGGCAAACTTACCACCTCGACCACCTGGGAATCCAGGGCCACCGGGGAAGCCAGGGAAGCCAGGAGGGGGAGCACCACCAACGCCGGCAGCAGGGCCCTAAGAAGAGAGTTAGTAACCTGCTAGATAACTTGGATATGGGACAAGGGATGCGTACGGCCAAAGAAGGAGGCGCAGCTCCTCTGCCAGCAGGGCGAGCGACACCAGGGCCAGCCGCCAGAGCTGAAGAGATTCCACCAGGGGCACTCTTTCCAAGTCGAGCGCTAGGGTCGGCGGGGGGAGGCGACTCGACGGAGAGGGAGATGATGTGAGCGCCTCGGACGATGGTGAGACCTAGAGTTCGCTTCTCCTCCGACTCGATGGTTTGCGTCGCGGAACCACTCGCGCCAGGGGCAGCAGGCTTGTTCTGCTTGCGCTTGACGCGTCGGAACTCTTCGGTGTCGGCGAGGACGAGGTTCATGTGCTATGGTATGATTAGCCTTGGTCTAAAGCCGCGGTCAAGTGGTATATCGAACCTTGTCAAAGGCAAGCATCTGACCGGTCATTGCCCTGCCATCGTTAAGGGTAACCCGCATCCGCCAGTTAATCTATATCGAAAGCGTTAGCTTGGAACAAGCAATCGCGGAGCATGAAGCAGTAGAGCATCATGCGCTCGTCGGGGTATACGTACGTAACCGGCCTGGAGAGTAAAGAGGTTAGCATCTGAACAACAAAGAGGACTCGACGCGTGACGAGGGATCAGAGAAACATACCATCTTTCCTTGCTTGTTCGACATCTTGGCGGTTGTTGCGAGGACTAGCTAGCGCAGTGCCTCTTGATTTCAAAAATTGGGGGTTGATCGCGGAGCTCTTGCGCGCGATCGCAACCTTCAATGCCTGGAGCTCTGAAGGTGAGGATGATGTCCAAAATCTGCGGAGCCTGATGGAGAAGGCTGAGAGGTACACCGACAATGTACCGAACTTGCGCTAGGCCACATTTGCAATAGGCGCGCCCCACTTTGGCACACGGCTCGCTTGAGGGCAGAGAAACCCTCAAATTTTTTATAGGTTCACAAAATCTCAAATCCCACTCTCCGCAACCTCGCGATCTTCGACAGACAACTTCATCACCAGGTCCGACTAATCAACCGCAGCAATGGCGTCCGAGAAGACCAGCAACCCCATGCGGGAGCTCAAGATTCAGAAGCTCGTTCTGAACATCTCCGTCGGCGAGTCTGGTGACAGACTTACCCGTGCCGCCAAGGTGCTCGAGCAGCTTTCTGGTCAGACCCCCGTCTACAGTAAGTTTTTGCGCATCACGAACCGAGGCGATGCGATTTTTGTTGACCGAATTTTTCTCCAGGCAAGGCCCGCTACACCGTCCGTACCTTCGGTATCCGACGTAACGAAAAGATTGCTGTCCACGTCACCGTCCGAGGCCCCAAGGTAATTACGAACAATTCAGCAAGACGACAATCGAAACCAGGTGCTAACATGTCCCAAGGCCGAGGAGATTCTCGAGCGTGGCCTCAAGGTCAAGGAGTACGAGCTCCGCAAGCGCAACTTCTCCGAGACCGGCAACTTCGGCTTCGGTATCAGCGAGCACATCGATCTTGGTATCAAGTACGACCCCTCGATCGGTATCTACGGCATGGACTTCTACTGCTGCATGACCCGACCTGGTGAGCGCGTCACCCGCCGACGACGCACCAAGAGCCGCATCGGTGCCGGCCACCGCATCAAGCGCGACGAGACCGTCAAGTGGTTCAAGTCTCGCTTCGACGGTATTGTCCGATAAATGGATTGAATGGTTTATTTGTCTTTAACGGAATGGTCACGGCGAATATTGAGGGGGAAAATCACATGGGGCATGTATTTTGTTGCCTTTTGCTGCTGCATCAGCTCGACCGAATTCAGTCGAGCCACGGCCTGAGAGACCGACCGGCACTCTGCCGGCTTTCCGATATTCACTCTGAATGTGACATATGCCATCATTCTTGCCAGATTATTGGTATTTTGTCTACTTGGCCTATCGTTTTTGCGTCTACGTGAGACGTGTTGAACAATGTCCCTATGGGGCTGGAAGCTCTGCTTCTGGCACATGATGTCTTTGTTGAGAGGCATCATCAGGCCATTGGAAGTATGAATATTGTAGATGGCGTAGGGACCTCGACGAGGAAGCCAGATGTACTCGAGAGTGTCGGCAGATGCGTATGTGATCCTACTCTGGTCGTAATTCACAACTCACCAACCGTCATGTTACAATGGTCTACTTTGCGAACATGAGTTGTCATGGTAAAGTTTCAACAAGAGAGCATCACCGTCATGAAAACAATAACCCCGACAATTTGTAGACCAATTCCACAATGCGGAGGTGCACCCCAGATTCAACATCTGATAACTTTACTTGGGGACATGGGGCACATTTGTTGTAAGACAGCACGGAAATAAACGAGACACCGACAACGACAACGACGGTGAAAAACAGTCTAAAGCCTCTCAAATATTATGTGAAAATTGTTACAATATATACCAAAATGATGCAGAGATGTACTAATAAAAGGCAAAGCTTTAGATCTCTTCCGTACAATTTCTTCCTGGTGTCTCGTTCTTCCTTGATCATCGTGGACGATGCACAACTCTTGATGACAGAGATGAAACAGGTTGAGCCGGAAAAATCACGGACCAAAGGCGGGATTCACGGGCCACGACAACCTCAGCCACCCCAGCTTGCGATTGATTGATCAATGGATGGATGGGGTCAGTTGGCCATGTTGCTTTGTCTTGGCTTGGCTGCTTGTAAGCTTGCGTTGCTGCTATTCTCTCACTGCTCTGTCCTGCTCCGTAGCCGGTCGCCAGGCCAGCACCAGGGTTCCACCGCAAATATGGAAGCTCGTTGGGTCACACAGCTCCTCCGACATCCCCTGGCCCATCTCAGTACCGCATTTCTCAGGCACTAACTGTCTAGGCCTACCCGGGTAATGCCGGTCGGTCGGCGGTACGGGAGTTGCTTGAGATGCGAGTTTCGGCGCGGCGCCAGCAGCCCGCCAGGAGCGACGTGAGGGAGATCTGGGGATCTCAGATCGAGTCAATTGACATGTAGACGAGGCCTCTATCTAATCAATTGACCCCCTAGACCCCCCAGAGCAGCTCTCGACACCTGCAATTGATGTCGGACGTCAGCTCGGCGGACGAAATGAAGCTCCGAAATGGAGCGGCTAGAGGAAAGCGAGCTAAGAAATTGTTAAGGCTGCCTCGGGATTTCCAGGCAAAAACGCGCAGTGGGCCCTGATTGGGCGGTCGGACCAGCTGAGCCCCACCTTATCCCTCAGACAGACTCTGCTCTCCATCACCGTCCTTCCTCAAAAAACTCCATTTGCTCTCCTGCAAAGGCAGCACCGCACTCCCCAATCTCCCCTCCCTCCAATTGCACCTGGCTGCAATTGCTCTCCTTTCATCTCCAAACCTCCCGTACCTCTCTTAATATGTTCCGGAACGCCCTCCGACAGTCGACGCGCGCCGTCGGCGCTGTCTCTGCTGCTGGCAGGGTCGCCGCGGTAAGTCGTGCTCCCCCGAGCCCCGAATCGGCCTCAGAGCCATCGACCAGCGACTCCAAACAGCCTGCACCATCGCCAATCCATCGTGCGAGCTCAATTGGGTCGTCGGACCAAGCTTCCATCGCCCGCAAGAGCTTTTTCTAGCTGTTTTGGCCCGCTGTCGATGCTCATACCGCCGTCCCATTTTCGGGCTTCGGCTAACTTGTTTTTCACCACTCAGGTCCGAAATGCCGCACCCGCCGCCATCAACGCTGCCCGATACTACGCCTCCGACGCCAAGGCTACTCCCACCGAGGTTTCTTCCATCCTCGAGCAGCGAATCCGTGGTGTCCAGGAGGAGTCCGGTCTCGCTGAGACTGGCCGTGTCCTTTCCGTCGGGTATGTGGATCATTAGGAAGCATTCGGAACGAGGCTGTGGGATGGATCCTGTGAGCTCTTTGTAGCGTCACATCGCAACACAACACGACACCATACCACGCCTCCGCCCCTCCGGATGTCCTGGGAAGATGCAATTGGGACTCAATCGATACTAACTATGCATCTACAGTGATGGTATCGCCCGTGTGCACGGCATGGCCAACGTCCAGGCTGAGGAGCTTGTCGAGTAAGTGCCGATCGGACTCCGATCATGGAGCTGCATCTAACAATCAACAATAGGTTCGCCTCTGGCGTCAAGGGCATGTGCATGAACCTCGAGGCCGGCCAGGTCGGTGTTGTGCTTTTCGGTTCCGATCGTCTCGTCAAGGAGGGTGAGACTGTCAAGCGTACCGGCGAGATTGTAAGCACAACCCCACCTCAACCGTTGATATGCGATCATATAGACTTACACAAACCTCTAGGTGGATATCCCCGTCGGCCCTGAGATGCTCGGCCGTGTCGTCGACGCTCTCGGCAACCCCATTGACGGCAAGGGCCCCATCCCCACCAAGGAGCGACGCCGTGCTCAGCTCAAGGCTCCCGGCATTCTGCCCCGAAAGTCTGTCAACGAGCCCGTCCAGACTGGTCTCAAGTCCATCGACGCCATGGTTCCCATCGGCCGTGGCCAGCGTGAGCTGATCATCGGTGACCGTCAGACCGGCAAGACTGCCGTTGGTCTCGACACCATCCTCAACCAGAAGCGCTGGAACAACAGCAACGACGAGAAGAAGAAGCTCTACTGTGTCTACGTTGCTGTCGGCCAGAAGCGATCCACCGTCGCCCAGCTTGTCCAGACCCTTGAGGAGAACGACGCCATGAAGTACTCCATCGTCGTTGCTGCCACTGCCTCCGAGGCCGCTCCTCTTCAGTACCTCGCCCCCTTCACTGGTATGTACCCTGCTACTTCAAACTCGCTCCTGCCCTTTGTTTTGCTTTATGTAATCGTCGAGTGGATACTCTTCCCTGAACATGGACGCTCCTGCCACATGGATCATCCACAAATGAGATATCCTAAACTTCAGAACCACATCTCACAACACATCACAACAACTGTTGTTACGCTTCAGAACAACACTGGAACAACTTGTTAACTGTTTTGCTAGGCGCGTCGATTGGCGAATGGTTCCGTGACAATGGCCGACACTCTCTTGTCATCTACGACGATCTTTCCAAGCAGGCCGTCGCCTACCGACAGATGTCTCTGCTTCTCCGACGTCCCCCTGGACGTGAGGCTTACCCCGGTGACGTTTTCTACCTGCACTCTCGTCTCCTCGAGCGTGCTGCCAAGATGAACGACAAGCTCGGTGGTGGTTCCATGACTGCCCTTCCCATCATTGAGACCCAGGGTGGTGATGTGTCTGCCTACATTCCCACCAACGTCATTTCCATCACCGATGGTCAGATCTTCCTGGAGTCTGAGCTTTTCTACAAGGGTATCCGACCTGCCATCAACGTCGGTCTTTCCGTCTCGCGTGTCGGCTCCTCTGCCCAGCTCAAGGCCATGAAGCAGGTTGCTGGCTCCCTGAAGCTTTTCTTGGCCCAGTACCGTGAGGTCGCTGCTTTCGCCCAGTTCGGTTCCGATCTTGATGCTGCTACCAAGCAGACTCTGAGCCGTGGTGAGCGTGTAAGTTGAACCCATTGATCCAAAGAAAACAGATGCTAATCACTCTACAGCTTACCGAGCTCCTCAAGCAGAAGCAATACTCTCCCATGGCCGTCAACGAGATGGTTCCCCTCATCTTCGCCGGTGTCAACGGTTACCTTGACACCGTTCCCGTCAACAAGATCCTCCAGTGGGAGTCTGACTTCCTTGCCCACCTCAAGACCAACGAGGCCGACCTCATTGCCACCATTGACAAGGAGGGTGCCCTCTCCAAGGAGACTGAGGCCAAGCTCCGTGACGTCGTCCAGACATTCGTCAAGAGCTTCCTGGGTTAAATATAATCAAAAGCATCTTGCGCGGAGAAGAACGGGGGCTTTTGGGGATGTCGCTATCTATACCGAATAACTGTAGTCGTGTTTTCTCTCTTGAGGCGGAGGGAATAGTCGAGGGGTCGCGCCTGATAGGAACGGCGGGATGAGTTGAGGGAGATTCACCCGTCGTATTGCCACTTGTAAAATAGAGCACAAAACTCAATGAACGCCCTCGATTCCTTTTGTTCCAACTTCCTAAATATTGTTCCTACCACCTATTCCCAAGTGAGACTGGCGTTGAATGTGTCTGTCAAGCTGTTGCAGTAGTGGTGTTCTGTGTGGGGGAGCGATCTCGGAGAAAATACTCGTCTAAGGATGATGATGAAGAATGATAAAAACGTAGTAGATTTGATAGATAATCTACATAAGACTATGAAAAAGTTGTCCATTATTTTGGTATTTTTATATAAACTCATTGATTATCAAGTCATAGCCTTAGAGGAGTAAGTGTATGCATCACTTCCTCACACAACAAAACACCGCTGCAACACCCCAACAAGACATCCATTACTGTCGATAGATCCCGCGTACAACTTTGCTGGGAATCCAGGCTTCTCGAAGAGAAGGATACATACTGCCCAAACTTTGGTGATTGGTGCCAGTAGTTAGTAGGTAGGTAGTTCGAGGACATTAAGTAGACTAAGGGTGAATGTGAGCGGTCCATAGGATTAAATCTCATCAAAAAGCTGTGCTTCCCCAATTATGACGTTGGGAATTTGACAAACGTACCTCTCGAGATCTCGGAGCCTTCGGTGGCATCCATCTTACGCGCTTCTAGTGCAAAGAGCTGATGAAGGGGAGGAGCGGAAAGCTCGCATGCCGATAGAGTTCCTTGTGTGAGGGCTGTCCGGACTCCGTGGTCGCTGTTGGTACCAGAGCCAATATACAGCATTGGTGGGCATCCTGGCTTCTCAAAGAGAAGAGCATAAATTGCCCATACTTTCTCGATGGGTGCTGGAACAAGACAGCGAAAGAGGTCAAGTGAAGGGGGTGTGGGTGACTTCAGGATATGGAGTAAGCCGGGGGCAAAGGTCAACGGCGATTGGGAGGAGATC